CAATCGAGTCTGGTCGTCGTGCGCAGCGCTCAAGGACGGCGAACCGAATCTGCGAACGAGATTCCTTTTTTATTTGTTTGTTTGTTTTTGTTTTGCGACTGTGCGCAACATTTTGCCGAGGAAGTACCTGGCGGTGATTTGTTTTTTTGCCATAAATTTGGGAACGCAAAGCCTGGACGACAAGTCGGCGTCAAGCCATATATGTTTATTTTTTTTTTAAACTATCAAAGCCATCTGCTCGGTTATCCCGCAGTGGCTATCGTGTTACAGCAATGGCGTTGCCACGACGACGACGACTACTATGGGTACTATTGAAGTCGTCGTTATTATTATTATTCACTTGCTCGTCTTACATTTCATAGTCATGTATTTGACCGCTTTGAGCGCCTATGCGGATCTCCTCCCCCACCTACTTCCCCTCCCTCCTTCCGTGACGAGACGTTGCCACTCGGGAAAGTGATTCGCAAATGAGGCGACAACTTACGACACCCCTAAAAAGAGACACACAAATATAAAGGTCACTGCAAATGTGAACTCTGTGGAGCATACTTCCCAAGCTCGCCGGTGCAAAATAAAATAAAAACCTTGTTAGATATTTATTCACGGGGTTACGAATGCCCTGGATGGTTCCAGTGTCCAGTGTCCCCCTAGCTTAACCTCAACTAAACTCGTGCTATATAATTATAAAGAGCATACCAATGTATATGGGGCGGGAGCCCCAGCAGTGCCGTTTCGGTAGTTTGAATACAAAATATTTTGTTGTTACTACAAAGCCAGACGCTCAAGGTTTTTGGTGTGGCGACTTTATTGGTAGCGTCTCCAAAGTCTGGTTTTGTATGAGATTGGGAGATTGTATTACAATAGGGTAAAATACGTCGGATAGAAACAACATCACCGACACGTGACATGATTTTTTTCTCCCGAAACAGGGACTTCCTCTGCTTACGAATATTCGACTTACGAACTTTCAGAGATACGAACAAACCTGTCCCGTACGTGCAGTTGCCTGTTCGGACCGAGAGTCGTAAGTTCCACCGCCACTCAATAGATGGCGGTGGTGGCATCTACATCTGCAGAACATGAAGAACCAGTGGCATCTACATCTACAAGAGATTATACAACTTTTAAAGCCATTTCCCGTGTTTACTATACATGCCGTACAATGTTTGGAATTGACATGAGTAAAGTTGGACTTCCGAACAACTCGACTTATGAACAGACTTCTGGAACCCAACTCGTTCGTAAGTTGAGTCACTGTAATACTGTTATGTATAGCCCTGCTCAGTCTACTGCTTGATGAAGGCCTCCCCACACCATTGCTTAGATATCACTCACCACTGATGTTCGCCATGGCTGAGAATTGAACCCAAGTTTGCGAGTTCAGTGCGCCAACTACTACACCGTACTTGTCCGCCAATGTATCTCATTATCTACCTGAACTGTAAGCGATACATGGGATTTTTGACGGCACAAAGTCTATCTGTAATGAAAACTGCAACACATTGATTATGGCGGACAGAGAAATAACTCGTTGTCCAAAGCGTTGTCCGTTATATAGTTTGTTTATAAGGGCAGTTCTGTTGACGTTTGTGCAATGTGTTGTTTGTAGACCACTGCCAATGCAGTACCACACGTTTTTGTTTACTTGACCCAACAGCTGCGGAATATGTGGATTGCTTATATTATACAGTACTAGTGAGTTGAATTACGCCCCTGACTAACCCCCCCTTCCCAACGCCAGAGTAATGTCATCATCAACTGAGATTAGCACCCTCCGATGGCCATTCGAGCAGGGTGATTGTTCAACTTGTTTAGGACAGAAAGACACACATTCAGGGCCAATATGGGCCAAAGTGTTCATAAAAGGCAATGTTCAATGAAAATGTTGATTTATTTGGATGATAATTGCATAAATCATTAACTTGTTTAAAATCAAACGTTACGCATTAAACATAAATGACAGATGTTTATTACATCGATATGTTTAAAATTTGTACATTTTAAATCCACTTTCATTAAATAGTCTTGGCAACTTTATACAGGTTGCCTAGTCTATATGTAAAACACAGCTCATGGCAATAATGGGTGGCCACCTGACAATGCAACTGCAATGCAGCCCGTGTAGGTATTTAACTCGATAAACACTGAAATGAGAACACAGGAGTGTATCCGTCACCGTTTAAACTGAAATCAAGGCGAGCACTTAGCCTAGGACGAGTTTAACAAATGTGAACCAACATTAACATTCAACACGGCGCATTAAATGGATAACATAATTAACCTTTAACCACGTGGAATAGGCGACGCGAGATGAAATAAAAAAAATGTACTTGCTAAAAATATTCCACTCTTGCATTTAAAAAAAATGAAGATGAGTCCACTTATCTTTACCATCTCTAAACAGTTAAAGAGTAAGCAGATAATTATTGACCCCGATAGCAATTTGAGAGGGTCGTCTTTCCATTCAAGAATAGGTTCTTTTTTTTTACATCGTTTGTAACATCTCAAATGGTATTTGTTTTCGCGTGTTCGACCGTCTTGTTTGTGCAGACCTCTTCCCTCGCCGTACCTTCATTTGTAAACACATTACCGTGAATATTTGCATGCAGCGTAACAATTTTTGTTTTATCACACTCTTTAACCTCTGCATCCTGAATTTAAGACGAAATTCAATGAATTGAATCATCGTTGAAGCGATAGGTCAAGAGTAGAGGCCACCTGCTTGATGTGTGATACTCTGTCAACATCCTTTCATTTATCTGGACGTGGCAAATGAATCGGCCACTGTAGAAGTTGGGCATGAGCTGCCCGTTCATTTAAAGATCGGCAACGGTTCATTGTGAAGGCACATTTATTCCACGGGCTACAGCCAAGACGTCTTGGCATGTCTTCACATCGGTGAGCGATCTACGTCCTCTTTACGTTCGTTCATGCGTATCCTCCTCTCGTCGGCCATTTCAAAAGCCTCTAATTATAGCCCAGGGTGGACGACCAGTCAGTGCCGTGCCATAGCCAGGCCAGGGCAGGGCGGGACACTAGCAAAGGTGTGGCGGATCGGTGGCTTAAATGCCTCGCTTGGGGCGCCAATTGTCTTCGGCCGTCACCGGGAGATTAGCAATCAAAAGGAAATTACCGACATTTTGTAAATGCCGTCGGATGACGTCACAATCGCTGCACGTGTTCCCGTTGTGACAAGAGGAGTTGTGTGCGCTGTCGCGAGGTACACTCCCAAAAAAAAAAATATTGGTTCACCGAGTAAAGTAACGAAAAAGTCGCATTCATCAACAATGGCGATTCACACATTGACAGCGCATGTAAACGTAGAGGTATGCATAGGGGAAAAAAAATCGGTAAAAAGATTATGATTGCTGTTTATACTTTCATGTGAAACGTATGTAACTTGTGTATGTAATTCTACAGCCCTCGGATCTGTCGTTTAGCACGACGTCCGACAATGCTCTCCAAGTGCCGAGAGCTTCGGGTTTTTGAAGAAGCTCCCAATACGTGGAGCGAAACGTCGGACATTGTGCCAAACAGGCTTGCACGACTCGAAAATACGTTTGACATTTTTTAAAACACAATCACAAAAAACTTACTCGGTAATATTCCACTAATTATATTTGTATGTATGTAGAACTTCTTTCACACCGTACATGGCCAACCGTGTTAATCGGCGGTGCGGGGGAAGGACAACAAACTAAACACGAAAAGCAGTTTCAAAGAAACATCTGTTAGTACCTGGTAGTCTTAAAAGTTACATCTGATGTCGACATGGCTTTAAAGTACCACATTTCACTTAGCACACTCTGTACACGGAAGTCCATTCCCCCCCCCCCCCCCCCCCCCCCCCCCCCCCCCCCCCCCCCCTTTTGACAACAAATGGATCACTTCAGATCAAATATTTCACACCTGCAGTTTCAGGGGCATTTCATTTGGAGCATTCAAAGTTATACATGGGGGAGGGTGTGGACGTAGGGATGTTGAAGGTTTCTCAATCACAAGGTTTGTATATCCAGCTCAGGTTAACGTGAACCGAGAGCCTCACAGATTCGTGTCATTCGAAGTACAAAAAAATGCAAGTGTTACAAGTTGAAATTATGGAAATATTTGACACGAAGTCGGCGTAAGCCCACATGTTCATTTCTATCTCGATGGTTGGTTGTCGAGCATAGTTTTGTAACATTAACGTAGATTAATGTTTTTAAACAAAACGAATTTTAGGGTTTCCTGAGACACTGGGTTCCTTCCCATGCGTAACAATACTCGCAGGTAAATTGGCCCAAACCTTCCAAACAAGTTCATCCTGAAATAAACACTAATTCTGAGGCTCAACGAGGCTTTGCCGAGTGAAAGATTTAAATCTGTAATAAATAGCAGTGATGTTAACTAACGTTGACACCAGACATGTTTCGCGACTTATATTTACAAAAAAACGGCACGTACAGGTGTAAGTGACTTGTTGAAGAAGTAGAACTTACGACTACATGAGCAGAACAGAAAACCGTACAATTTTCAGGATACATTAACGTGTGTAAGGATTTGTGCAATTGCCCTTTTGTTGCATACCCGCCGTCCGAGGTCCAAAAAGATGCGGAAACATTTGACAGCAACGGCGGCCGGTGCTGTCGCGCGCGCTGCCCGGCGCGGTGTCCAACGAATTGGCTGCACGCGTCCGGGAGGCGTTTCGGGGCGTTCCGTTCCCGACGAACAACACCACGCGCCAGGACGCGAGCGCACACCACACCAGAGCACGACGCTGCAAAAGTCAAAGACTGCCCCCCGCCGCCGCCGCCGCATAGCCTTGACGGACCGTTGGGTCAAGTGCTGTTAAGCGAGCACCTACGAAGGGGATGGCACACGTAGGGAATGGGTGGCCAGCACCACGCCCGACCGCCTTTGTCTCCCCCCCCCCCCCCCCAGTGTCGATGTTTTTACACACCACACCAGGTACTCATTTGAGGCCGAGTCGACCTAGGGGAGGCCCAGGACCGGTTCATAAAATCGTCAGCGGTGTTGGCCGTGAGCGGGAATCGAATTCGGGTCGCTGGGTTCGTAGTGCAGCGTAGCGCTAACCGCTGCACCACCGCTCCCCTCTATGCAGCACAACCACAACGATGTACACATGGCTTACTTCCCTGACGTGCTTTTTTTTGGTAGCTTAAACGTTTCAGCCCTCGAGTTAAAATGCTATTCTATGAGGCATGCAAATATAAAAATTACATGAGTTGTACACTCGCTACAATCGCCGTATTCTATGTATCATAAGTCACACTGTGCCCCCTGTAATTTAAATCTAAAGTTTGGGGATGAGTCTCAAAATCCAGTGTATGTTTGTTGAACTTCTTTAGCACTGTACATTGCCAACCATGCTAATCGGAGGTGCGGGGGAAGGACAACAACCTAAACACAAAAAGCAGCTGTGAAGAAATGTGTGGGTGTGTGCGACCAGATTTGCGTAATTCTACTGACACCGGGCACAAGTCTCGCTTTCTGAAGCGTCTTATAATCCTTGAGAATACCCGTGTTATTTTTTTTTCCTCGGTGAAGAGAACTCATTCGGGCAGCACTGGCTGTGCACCGGTTTCCCCTACCCTCGCCGGGTCACCGGCTTGGAGTACACAGCGATGCCGGATCCAGCTGTGCCGAGCTCGTATCGTGCGCGTGGCCATTGACGGCCACGTTCTCGGCCTCTTGCTTCACCTGACCGAGGAAGCGGATCAAGCTACGCAGCCCAATGATGCAGTTCTCATCCGGTCCATCGTAAGCCACTGGGTCGTCCAGAAACGTCCGGCACGTCGTGTGAGCAAAATCGATCATGCGCACGTCCACTTTCGCCGTCAACGCGCTCGTCGCTCCGTCGCCGTGCCCATTGCCCACGCGGCACTCCTCCTGGCCCTCGTAGATGATGAGCAGGGAGCTGGAGTAGAAGCGGTACGAGTCCTGGCGCTCCAGTGCCACCCTGAGCTCAGAGAGCTTGCGCAGCACGGGCTCCAGGAGGTCCTTCCTCAGGCGCTGTCCGTTGTGGAAGAACTGGCTCAGCGTCTCCTTGAAGCCGTTCACTGAAAGCTTGCGCCCGATGTACTTGTTCATGTGCACGTACTGCCGTGTGTCCACGTGATACACCTGTAGGAGGGAGAGACCCAGGCGAGGATTTCGGTTGTTTCAGGAAGGTGGCTCTCGGTGCACAAAAGTATTACTCGCTGTTCGATGCGTTTCGGGTTGTACGGAGCGCAGTTCAGCGTGATGTCTGACATTTGGCTTTGTGTGCCGGGAGCCGCTGAACAACTTGAGTCAGTCTATGGGCCTTCTACGACAGCGTTCTTCGTTGCAAGGCCCGCGGGCCACTGGCGGCCCTTGGTGGCCTTTAGTGTAGCCCCTGATGTGCGGCCCCCGAAAATACACAAATGTGAAAATACCATCATCGTGCTGTCAAACTCGGTGGTTTCATGTGTGGTGGCCAAGAAGTCCTTACACTGATGTCTTATCAGCGAAAGTGGCCCCCCTCTGAAAATTAGTGAAGGACACAGCTCTACGACAGCGATGATTTCCAGCAGCATTTGTACAAGCAGGCAAACCCTGAATCAAGTTGCCTGAATCTCATTGGCAGAGTGGAGTCATTATAACAACTGATGTATCTTAACTCCACATAATTATTGAAGAAAAACAGAGAAGACTGCGAAGCAAGCCTAAAGTTGCATACAATATGTTCTATGAACCAAAAGAGATAATTGTTGGGAGGGAATACAAATGAAAATGCAGTAGAATGTTAACTCAGACAATTAAGTGCCAATGGCATTTCAACCGAAGCAACTGATGTCACAGTGATACAAGCCATGCTGAGGATGCCACCGTATGACCGTGATGTAAATTTTCCACAAATAAATAATGCATGCAGGTGCTAGGTGGAAAATTACGTCGCGGGATCGTGAGTGGCGGCAGAGGCTTGGGGAGGCCTCATCCAGCGGTCGATTGAGATCATGTTGAAAAAGATGACGATGCTTAAAAAGCCACTCTAGGTTCAGTCATCTGTATGTGATTCAACCGGTTCTCGAGTGTTGTGAGTTGATGGTCTCAGCCCGGTCACAATAACTGTACAAAAAAAACCCGTCATGTGAAATTTGGTTCCACATTAAAAATTTGGCTAAATTCCAGCTTTTGATAATTAACATATCAGTTTGACTGCCAAGCGACAAACCTCGCCCTCACATGGCAGAGCCATTGGGGAAGTGCTCCCCTCCCCACGACGTGTGGTCCCGAGGTCAAAGGCACCTCAGAAGTAGCTCTGGAATTTCTCCTTCTGTGGGCCGTTCTCGAACACAAAGGCTTGCGTTGTTCCGGGTGATAAAACTACACTCTAAACTATGTATTCTTTCACCAGGTAAGGCCCCCTTGAGCTATACAGCTGTTTTTCAGAAGTGACCTGGCCACAAATGGTAACCCAACGAAGTGGCTTCTCACGTGGAAATTTATAGCAGCCAAATACTCTAAAAGGCATGTTTCTAAATGTGGAGGGACAAACCGGAGGACTCGGAGAAAAATCCACACGACCACAGGGAGAGAGACACGCAAACTCCAAGTATACAGGCGTAAGGGTCGAGATCAAACCCACGACCTTCTGTATACCAGGCGAGGTAGTTAACATCTTGCCACCGTGGCACCCACATGGTGATGTGATGTCAGATCCGAGAACATTTCTTGTCTCGCGACATGATGTTGATATCGCAATTGGGATAAACTTGGGGGGGGGGGGGCGGGTGGGGCGTTGTGGAAATACAAAAGGAAGCAACAAAGCCACTCTCTGCGTCTATGCACGTAAATCAATGGAACACGGTTGCGTGCGCCTCACTCGAGTGTTACACCGTCGTTGTTTCTCTTGGCCGGTGTTCTTTTTTTACCTGCATGCCGCTGATGCGCACGCCCAGGACCGACGACGTGCTCTGTTGGCACGTGCGCGTGTGCAGTGCCTTCTTGTCCTCGGGCGCGTCGTCGCCGTACTGCCGGACGCCCATCTTGAGGTCCAGGATGCACGGCGCCAGGTACGTGGACACCAGGTTCTCCAGCAGGATGAACCCTGCGGGGCGCTCGTCAAGGATTCAATTGTGTCATCGCCGTCGTCGTCGTCGTCGTCGTCAGCGACGTGATTTATTGTTATTGTTGTTACGCTCGTCTACCCAGGAAAACCTCGCCGAGTCTCCGTGACGATTTTTCAGGAGGGTGACGAATGTTACGTCGCGTTGTCCCAAATTTACTGGACATCTGTGAAGAAGAGCTTCATAGCTTATCGGATTCCTCCAATATAAATACAGATTCTGATTCATGAGCAAACAATTTCAGGGCTGCACCTGCATCTCGTTGGGTTTTTTTTTTCTCCCAAAGTTGATACGAAATTTATTCGAAATATGCTTTAACAAATGTCTTTCAGCTCGAGGCTGCATTTCGGGCAGCGGACAAGAGCGCAGCCAAATCCATCGTTAGACTGTACTTCTATGCTCCCGCATCTTTACTTTCCGCATTCGCCAACCAACACCGAGACCAGCACAATGAAGCGACGTCAAGAAACACACGACGGCCCTCAATCCAGCGGTGGATTGACAAAACCGCTTTTACCGCACGTACTCTTGCCGGCACAGGTGTGAAAGAGCGCGGTGCGGCACGGAGGATACTGTGTTGGTTCTGGTCCTTGAATTTTTGCTGCAGGCGTTCTATCCGCGCGCAGAAGTCTTTGCTGCGGACGTCACTGCCATTTTCAGCGGGAGGAGCCTCCGGGACGAAATCCATTCCGCCTCTCGTGCCGCCGCCGCGTTCATTCTGCTGCTCGCTGCGCGCAAACGACGACGCCGAGACGCTGACCGCCACCGATCGTAATCTCACGGGCGCTGGCCGTGTCAGTCACGGCACGAAGAAAAGGAATTCGCCTCAAGGGACAACGGAAAATGTTGCCGTGTTGAGAGAATGCGCCGCAGCACCCCCCCCACCCCCCACCGGTTATAACTCGGGGCCTCAGCAATGCCGTGGGTCCACTGAAACAGCTGTTATGAACCGCCTGAATCACTTGCTCAGTTCAATGTTTTAGGAGTTATTGACACTATATTTGTTTGCCAAAAACATAACTTCAATTAACCTGATAAGCACAAACAAGAGCGGTATTCATATTATGCATTCTTTTGTAAAAATATTTTGTAAATGATCGCTATAAATAATAAAAAAATGCCATTTAAATTAAATACTAAATATAAGGGTGGAGTGGGAGTGTAGTGGTTAGTACACTGCTCTCGGAATAAGTTTGATTCCCAAGCTCAGCGAACATTATTAGTGAACGATATCAGAACCTATCATAGGCCAGCCCTTAACTTACCGGCAGTGACTAGCATGGTGAAGTATAGTCAAACAACCCACATATCCAATATAGTGTGGGAGGCCCTTTATCTGGCAGTGGATTTACAAAGCGCTCTACATTATTACGTACATACAAAGACAACGATCCCCCGTATAGCCTTAACTGACATTTGGGGCAAGTTCTGTAAGTGAGTACCTATGAAGGCCGGCACGGCATACAAGGGGGTGGGGGTAGCCAGCACCACGCCCAACTGCACTTTGTCTCTATAGTGCTGATGTTTACACACTACACCAGGTCCTCATTTGAGCCTGAGTGTACCTGGAGGAGGCCCAGGACCGGTTCAAATGATAGTCACTGGGTTGCTGGGCTTGAGCACAGCGCGCTAACCACTGCAGCATCCTTCACAAACCACCTCCACAGAAACCAATCTTGACACTGCTGGCACCAGTCATCGGCAGTCCAATCAGCTCCAAATATTTCAGTCCATCTCTTCTCTAGCCCGTGCCGCACCTGTTTAGCCCCATCTCTCTGGCCGAACAGAAGCTCCTTGACAGCTGGACATGCGGGCTACATGACCCAGCCAACACAGCTTCGCTTGCCGGAGGACATCACTGATGAGACTGTGTCCTGATCTTTCAAGGATCTGTGAACTCCTCACACAATCCAGTCTGGTTCGACCCAGCATGGATCGTAGGCAGGCTAGCCTGAATGTTTTAAACCAGCACAGATGTTCCATTAGAGGGCTCTACGTTTCGCAAGCATAGAGAAGGGAGGCCACAACTGTGGCCGAGAAGACCTAGAGCTTTGTTCAGAGCGACAGGCCAGGGGTAGCTTCCACACAGCGTTACACAGCTGTTGAAATTATAATGCTGCTCTACTGGTTCGGAGTGAGACCTCGGCTGCCAAACCAGAGCTGGTCATTAGCGCACACACACACACATTGCATCAGTCCCAGCCTTTGGGATGGGCGATATCGAGGTGACTGGCTTTATTGAGATACTGAGATAGACAGAGAAATATAGAGATAGGGAGAATGAGTGATAGCCATGAAGAGGAGACAATTTTGTGTAACCAGGGCAATGTGTATATTGAGATCAGCCCTTCGCAGTACTGTATGAAATCAGCCCTTCGCAGTACTGTATATGCATTAATATGTTGAAATGCATCAATGGAATATCCACTCACCATGTCCTGGTGTCCCCCGTGTTGTCCACTTGAGGGTAGGTGACAAAGTGCCTCTCGCCGTTCCTTTCCTCGATGTTCAAGGACACAGTGCCTGGTTTGAGGACAGGCAGCAGCAGGTGCAATAATCAGGATGACCACGGTTGGATTTACAAGACCCACTGTCTAGAAACTAAGCTGAACTATTTTTGGTTGACCAGGTAAGGCCCGCTGAGCTATGTAGCTCTTTTTCAGAACTTACCTGGCCACAAATGATAGCTCAAGGAAGCGGCTTATCATCATATGGAAATTTACAGCAGTCAAATACTCTAAATGAGTGTTGTTTCTAAAATGTGGAGGGATAAACCGGAGGACACAGAAAAATACACGTGACCACGGGGAGAACATGCAAACTCCAAATACACTGGCGTCAGGGTTGGGATCGAACCCATTAACCTCCTGCATATCGGGCGAGGGAGTTAACATCTCACCACCGTGGTGCCCCTACATGAGAATCTTTATTCAGAATCTTTACTTTGACTGGAGGAATCCGAGTGCCACTGGCCATGACAATAAATGCGGTAATGGTTGACGAGCAATTTAAATCAGCTCCTGTGTGCAGATGCTCAGCGGTTTGTTGCATGGCATGAGAGAAGGCGAAGGTTTGGTGGGGGGTGGTGGGTGGGGGTATGTAACCACAGAGGCATACAGTGCAGTGCAATTTCTAACATTATTGCATCAGCTCATTGTTAGGGTAAGTAAATTAATAGGTAATGCATTAGGCCAGCGTGGTATTGGGGTCTAGAGATCCATCCCTGAGCCTGAGCCAGTTTTGCGAGAGAGACTCAAAGTGGTGTCATTCCAAAGAGCATACTATGTGCGGCTAGGGGCCATCCCTTTAGTAGGCACGCAAAAGTCTGTCAAAACTTGACCCCTCCCTCCCTGTACGCACGCGTACTTTTTACACCCCCCACCCCGCCCCCCCCCGAATCCTATAGAACGGCCGATATTTAATCCACGCAGAAACGATCAAGGATGAATAACTAATTTGAAGGCCAATGTAGACAAATTATTATTGAGGCTTCACCCCCCCCCCCCCGTTTCCTATGCGTACATTGTCAGTAGACCCCCCCAATACGCAAGCTACGCGTTTGGGTTAACCCCCCCTCCATGCGTACATCCTCAATGCATGGCCCCTTATAATGCACATTCGTGATGGACTGAACCCGAGAGAGTTGCGCGATATAAAAAAAATTGCTCAGACTTGCTTCCTGACACACTGACAAAAAATGTACTCTTATCAAACGAGTCAACTGTTAAATCTACATCATATCGGGCCATTTTATTTATATAAATCCAGCCAAGTAAAAACAAGACTGTATATCTAAAGTAGGGCATGTGCGTCAAGAGGAACCGGCAAATACCGATCGACGGAGGGATAAGTCTACATTTTATCTTCGGTTAGCCTCAGACTACAGAGAAGAACACATTCCTGCAGAGGGAGCTGGTAGGAATGTTGGGTTGCTCGGTCAATGGCCAGGGTCAACGGCGGCACGTGGTGTATTCCGCAAATATGCCCGACTGTGAGGGCGGGCACAAGCCGGCGTTAGTAGGTTAAACGTTGAGTTTTATAAGGGCACCACGGGGTGATCAGCCCCTCCCCACCCAGCCCCACCCCTCCCACCCCCCACCCAGCCCCTCCCCACCCAGCCCCTCCCTCCCCATCCAGTCCCTCCCCACCCTCCCCTCTCCACCCAGCCCCACCCCTCCCATTTTTGGATGCACGACGGACGTACACAGTTCAGTTCAGTGTATTTTGGTATAGCCCTGTGAGCCATTCGGCTCTTGAATCGGGTGCAACCACAACAAACAAAAAAACACGAACAAGAAAAACATCTTAAAGTGACTATGTGACTGTGCAAACAGAAAATCCATGGAAAAAAAACAGCAAAAATATTCCTGAAAAAAGCACCGCACACCAACGCTGTGTGCAAAAAAATCCCAGTGGGATGCAAGTCAAACAACAACAACAACCACACAAACTTAGATTTAGGCCATCAGTCTAACTCCGTACTACAACAAAACAAACATGTCCAAACCAAAAAACTTTTTCAAATCACCAAAAAATAAAGCCATAATTGCAACGTAACAGTGATCACAGGGACTGTGACCGAATTTTTAAAATAAACTACATAAATAACATGTAACACCAAATCCTAGAGCCATAGCTGGCTGCATGAGTTACTCCACAACAACACAAGCATCGGTCGGAGTATCAAATTTTTCAATGCACCTTTAAGATCAGCACGCTAAATCAAAATACAGATAATACTTAGCAGCGTCATCCGGGGCGAAACATTTTATTTTATTTTACGCCAATGAATAGCAGTGGCAGCTAGGGGTGTACAACTCCTCTAGAGCAGTTTTGAGAGAAGATTTCATTGGTAGCGATTCAAGTTGCAGTTTATTGGCAATAGCATTCCAGACCCTGGGGGCATCAATAGCAAAGGCCCTTCCTCCAGTTTTTGTACGGCAATAAGGAATGTGAAGCTGGTAAATGAGCGAAGACCTGAGGTCAAATTTGTTCTTTGAAACAGAGAGGAGATCCAGCAGGTAGTCTGCGGATTTTTTTGTAAGTAGATCGTGATTAAATAAGATCTGGTGCACAAGCCGTCGAACATTAACAGATGTTAAGTTTGACCCAATGTAGAGATCACAGCGGTGAGTCCTATATGGGCATTTCAATGTAAATCTTAAGGCCGAGTGATAGATGGATTCAAGCTTCTTCAGACACAATAATCCCCTGTGGGCTGGTGTAACCAGGAGGTTCCTACCAGTAAAATCATAATGAGCAAAGACTTGAAGAGCCACACCGAGGTATATATACGCTGTATGTATGATCAACCTCTTTCGCACCATATGTAACCAACCGAGCTAATCGGAGGTGTGGGGGAAGGACAAATTAAATCCAAAAAAGTCGAAACAATCGAGTTTTCAAAATAGATTTACCGGTGCATAGCTCCAGTGGCTTCCTAGCATCGGAAAGGAAGAGCGTTCCAGTCGGCTGCCGTGTCAGATTTGGAGGTCGTTGGAACATATTTCACCACGCTGGTTATGAAGTATGTGTGATTTGGTAAAGGGGGTGGGACGGGGGGAGACACAGTACCGATTCAGATGTCAATCGCCACTAATGTTACCCATTTACAGGAATCTAACTCGGGGAAGCTGGGTTCATATGGCGCACCACTCCTCATATCCCATTACATTACAGAATAGATTTCACAGTTCTGTGCAGTATTTCATTATCGATTTAATCTATTATGAAACATATACTACACAGCACCGTATATATTCCTACAAATAAGATGGGATGTGTTTTTGTTTAAACAATGTCGTGGCTTTACTCTCCAACGCACCGGTGTGCTGTACTCGTAATGAATTGGCACATTACGTTTATGTGACAAACCCTCAACTAACCTGGCGGTGTCGGGTGGTGGCGGGTTGAACGACACATTTATATTTACGCGATCTAACCCAATGACCTCTATTATTATTATGGACTAAATATATATATCGGTTGCCGAATGTTGGGCGGCCATGCCCGCACATATTGCCTATGCCCTTACTGCAGTGCCGGACTATCCTAGTAGCACAAGTAGCAAATGCTACGGGCCCCGCGCTAAACGCTTTCAAGCTATCAATTCCGGTTCAGTGATTCTGCACTTGCTCTATTACTATAGTACTATACCGCCTTCAACTTTTACGAACGACTGGGTGTTTAAAGTGAGCGATTTGTCGTATTATCTGGCTGTATAGCAAATTTAAAAAATACAATCACTTTACTGTGCAAGTAAAAAAATTGTGTTTTCATATTTACGTGTATTTTTTTATTCAGGGCCCCTTTATAACATCATGCTACAGGCCCCGCACCAGCTTAATCCGGGCACTGCCTTACCGCACCGCCTTGACCCTGCAAGACAAACGCGGAGCGGCGATTGTGACCCCTTGGCCGCTGTTTTAAATACAGGTGTCGACGAATGACATTTTCACTTGACCAGGTGTTCGGTGACGCACCGATCGCTGTTTAAATTGTTGGAACATCCTCGGGGGCGGAAAATCCGCGTGCACAGATGTGAAAATGCAAAATTGCTGTAATAATCGTCGTCGTTGTGGGGAATATAAGGAACAGAGTAAATTGGCTGACGACACACGTCCTTCACACGTTTGTGACTCCGCATGTAAAATATTTGCTTTTGCTTCGCACATCCCGAACCTCCGATTAGCACGGTTGGCCACGCATGGTGCGAAAGAAGTTCAACATGCAGTACATGCGTAAATCCCATCACTCTGTCGTGGAGACGCTGTGTGACAAGATTGGTGCAGAGTTTGTGTTGACCGAATGCTGCTCAATTTGTGCATTCCCAGAGGGCAGGTGGCTGATGGGATGTGTACAAAACAGTTTTTTTTGTTACGTGCAGGGACAGCTGTGTGAAGGAGGTGTACGGTCTGCGAATTGATATTCGTCAGATATCGACAGTGGTGAAGATAAAGTACAGAGGTAAAGGTGTAGCCCTGAAATGTCTTGCTCACACCACTGCTGGCGGGAGGGAGGTCCTCCACCACAGGGAGCTCTCGCAAGCCCCTCTCGACAAGTACATTTGGTCTACTCTTCTGCGCTGGCCGGACTTCTTGAGAGGGGTGGGAGAGCACTCCACACTTAATCCCACCACATTAGACCTACCTGCCTATCAGCTAACTGTGACGTACGCACTTCTACTGAAACTAAAAACACTAGTTTTTATTTTTCCAGGTAAGGCCCACTGAGCTATGTAGCTCAGCCAAACACTCTAAACGCACGCTGATTCAGAGGTGGATGGTGGGGGTGTGGGGGGCATTCACAAACTTGCAAGGTTGTTTTAACAGTGGCGCCGGCGGATTTTTTTGGGATTGCAAGGCCACTGAGTTAACTGTTAACCACATGACGGCATCACGACCACCACCACCACCACAGTTTAGTACAATGGGTCGTTATGAGTTCAAATGCTTCGTCAGACCGCAGCAAAAGCAAACATTTTTTTAAAATACAAAACACTAAGAGGGTAGGGGTGAGTGTCTCAAATATTTTTTTTGTATATATACACATTTTTTATTCCACACACTCCCCCACATCACACATTGCAACATCCTGACATTCTGGATGGCATTACCAGTTTGCATCAATGGTATTAGGCACATCGGACTCATCAGAGCAGGCGGGAGAAATTGTCTTTGGGGGAGAGGTGGGGTGCCAGATCATTGCCATTCTGGGCTCGGGTATGGAAGAGTGTTCTAATGTTTAGGAATGGCCCCCCATGTACGTGGTGTATTCTTCTTCCTTGTCTCTGAGCCTATAGTTCAGATGCTCCAATGTTGAGATTGGGCCTAATGAATACAACCATTGAGTATGGGAGGTGGGGGGGTCCCTGATTCTGCCACGTACTCAATGTTTTTTTCTGGCTGCTATATTGAGAGTCCTTCACAAAATGTTCTGTCCTCGAGTCAGTCGCACTTCTCTGAGGCCCCACAGGGTAGTTTCCACACTTATTTTTCTACAGATGTATTGTTCATCGTATTGAATACCCCCATTATATGTTCATATAACTCATCATCAATAGTCGGACATGACCAGAAAGCATGTTTGTAATCGCGTATTACACCCGGGGGGCCACCTCGGGCAGTCCGGAGATGATGGTGCACCAAACTTGTCCCTCCTCTGATTGGTCGCTTAGGCCCCGTGTAGAAATTTGAATTGGATAATGCTCAGGGGGAGGGATCGGACCCCTTGGGAAGTGGAATTCCAAATCTGGGTTCATGTCTTGTTGGAGATTGGCCGATTTACTATTTTATCCCATAGCACTAGGGTCCGAGGTCGTCCACTGTTTGTCCCTGAGAGTAGAAGCCAGTATGCCACAGCTAGTTTTTATCTCTCTTCATCTGACTGAAGCCATTTTATCACTCCAGGAGGGGGTGGTATTAGTTATCTTCCTCTGGCTCTGGTGATCACTTTCCCCAACCTGGATGTATTTATCTAATGTGTCAATGTAGCCATTATCTGCTTTAAGGTCCCCGACTATATGATTCTGGGCCACTTTCCAATCAGACCATTTGATTCTCTTGTTTTCAACTTGCAGTGCCGGATTATTCCAAAATGGCGAATAGGAGTGGAGTCCCCTCAGGATCTGGGCGATTCTGTTTATGCACATCCACGGCGTAGTATTGACCATCTCGAGCGGCTTTATGCCCAGGGGCTTATCCTGGAGGTGTGAGTGAGCGAGACCTTCCAGATTCCATGGCGAGACTGAGACCTTTTCCCAAGATTTCCACACTCCGTCACTCTCCTCCGAGATCCAATGCTTCGTGGTATGCCAGCCAGCTGTGAGGTAGTATTTTCCAAAGTCCGGTAGAGCAAGTCCTCTCTCACTCCTTGTCTGGGTAAGGGTCTAACTTATTCTCGCGGCTTTGCAATTCAAGATTAAAGAGGAAATGTTGGAGTGCAATTTCCGAATAAAGGTTTGTGGGATCCACGTTGGAATCACTCAGGTGGTACTACATCTTTGGGAGGATCATAATTTTAATCAAGTATACCCTGTCAGGAAGAGACAATGGGATATCATTGCACACTGCCAAGGGAGTTTGGATCTCTTGGCGTAGATGGGGGAAGTTCACCTGAAAAAGCTCACTCAGCCTACTCGGATTGACGACTCCGAGATATTGAATCCTCCGAGGGCACCATTTGAAGGGGGTCAAAGCAATTGGGAGGGCCGGGAAGTCTGGGGAGATGGGCATTATTTCTGGTTTGTTTACATTTAGCTTATATCCTGCCACTTCTCCATATTCCTGAATCTCCTTCAGGAGGGCCGGGATTGAGGTTTCGGGCCCGGTGATGATTAATAGTATATCGTCTGCATAGAGATGTATCTTATTCTCTCGATCCCCATAGTGCAGACCTTTGCTCTCTATGCTTCTTCTAATCTTCTCATCAAGGGGCTCTATGGACATCACGAACAGGAGGGGGGACAAGGGGCAGACCCGCCGAGTTTCACGCGCGAGCGCCAACCTTCTTGTAATGATTCTGTTGGTGGAGACCACTGCCCAGGGGTCCGAGTACAATAGCTGGCACCACTTGAGGAAAAGGGCCGGTATCCCAATATCTTCCATGGTGCTGAACAGGAACTTCCATTCTACGCTGCCGAATGCTTTTTCGCCATCCAGGGCAATGGAGCAATCTCGTTTTCTGTATTTTGTGGCGATATCAACAGCGTTGACGAGGGTCCTGATGTTATCTGCGGAGTCTTTCCTCCTGATAAAGCCAATCTGGGCTTCCCCAATGATGCTCGGAAGGGCCTTTTTCAGTCTTTTTACAAGCACCTTTGCATATATTTTATAATCTGCATTGAATAGTGAGATTTGTCTATAGCTGGCTACATCCTCCTGGCTTGTGAATCACTAATTCTGGCTTCCCTCATGGAGTCTGGCACCTTTCCCTGCAGTTCTGCTTCATTCAGAGTGTTTAGTAGGTGCGACAGGAGGTGCGTCCCAATATTCTTGTATAATTCCTTAGTCATACCATCAGGTCCTGGGGCTTTACCAGGTGTAAGCTCTTTAAGAGCTTCCATGAGATCCTGAAGAGTGATGGGTCTATCTAATTCTGACTTCAGTGAACGAGGGAGATGGGGAGGACTATTTCCAGCAGGTATGATTCCATGTCTAGGGGTCTAGGGTGTTCTGAATTGAGTGTCTCGAATATTTACATTTCTCTTCATGTGCAGCCACTTCTGTTAATGTAGGCTATCATCATCCATCATAATGGACTGTATTACAAATAGCACTTGGGAGTTTGGCCATGCAATGTGGGGCCAACGTTGTTACTTTTATTCAAATGCTTCTGTTTGCGTGTGCTTGATAATTATCTCTGAAGCTTTTTAGTAAAACAAAAAACACAGCTACATCATTTTTTTCCAGTATTTCAAGCATATATGGTCGCGTAAACTGCCGTTCATTGATAATTTAAAAAACGGACAATACCTTCATTGAAACCTGTATAACCACTGGCCACAGATGGTGATGCTGCTTTATAGAGCGAGCATGCAAGAAGGAAATTACCTCTTATACAGGGTGCTAGCAAATATACGCAGCACTCCAATATGTGTCCCTGCATTTAATAATGTGTTTTTAGTTTCTCAACTCAATGGTTTTGGAGACCAACATTTTCAAGCAGCATTTTGTCAAAGCACACAAAAGCTCTGAATTCGTTTCAACCTTCAGGATATTGTCAGCAGAGTCAGGCTTGTAAGATTATATGCGACTGGACTGTCGGACAGCAAGTACATCCCACAAAGATTATGGGGCCCCTTGAATTATGGGGCCCCATACGAGGGCAAAAAATTCACATCACACTGCAAGCAATCAAGACGAGCATGATAAGGTGAAAGGTATTTACAGCTGTAGAGGTGTCATGATGCATCGATCAACATCAGTTCTCCAAGCTCACAATACACGCATCGATATTGCGTGCAAACGAATTGCAGTTTTCCGATTTGCATATACGTTGTGTGGAATGGGTACGTGTGTCCGCTGCAGAATGCTTGACAATCCGCAACGCAAAACACTCGTGTGGACGTATGTTGAACTTTTTACGCACGGTACGTAGCCAACCATGCTACCCCGAGGTGTGGGGGAAGGACAACAAACTGAACTATACACTTTAAAATCTATATTTTAAATCTATATTTGCAAGTGCATAGCTCCCAGTGGCTTCCAAACATAATGTCGCGGATGGTGACTCCCCCTGTGCCACACATGGCACCGGAGCGGGCGTTTGCGGGCTTTGAATGCGCTGCCCGGGGATGTTGGTGTGAGAGATCAGGGCTTGCTGGGAAACGAGTGATATCAGCTCGGAGATAAGAAATTGGTTTTCTACAAAGTTCCATAAACCTTGTCAGTTCGGCATGACTCACCTTCAGTAGCTTGCATCAGCATCAACAACAGGGTAGCAGCAAGTGGAGCAGGGGGCTGCTTGGCCACAGTTATGCGAATGGCCGGACCGGGCCGAGTCATTTGTTCTCGGGGCTATAAAAGCACCGCCTTAGAACTTCTTTCACACCGTACGTAGCCAACCGTGATAATTGGAGGTGCGAGGGAAGGACAGTAAACTAAAAACAAAAAAGCAGATCTAAAGAAATCAGTTTTCACTCGAGAAGCTCGGTGCGAGGTGTGTCCTCCCGAGGCGCATGGGGGGGGGGGGGGGTTCTCGGCCACGCGTATAATATATTTGTGCCTATAAGCTGTTTGCCTATATTATTTCAGTCGATTACCAGGTGCACATTGCAATTGGAAGTGACTGATAAAAATTGTTAAATGGTTAAAGACGTCCGACTGGACATCGCCTCTATTTTTTGCTCCGTTATCAAGTGCCAGGGTGTTGGGGTTTACAATGCTGACATTCCATTGGTGGCAGGTGAGCTACAAACCCCGTTGACATTGCAATACAATCAAAACAATCAGCCATCTTGGAGAACGTTATTTTACAAAATAAAGAACGCGCCCTTTCCCTTATAATTGCAAATGTCCTATCACCAGAAGTTATTATATTATAAATATATAAAATGCAAAAGATAAAAGATGCCACTGAAACCACCTAAAATGATAAGCCAATTTTAGAACGCACATTCCAATGCTACAGCAGTTAACTTCACAATTCTACATTTGGGACTGCTTGGCAAATGACGTTTCAGCTGAGAGATGGAGGGAGACGCAGCGAACAACCAACGGTCCGAGCTTCGGCAGCGTGGTTTTCCAACTTTAACTAACTTCTCACGGGTCTCCCAAAAAAAAAAAAAACACATCACAGTTCTATTCCGAACAAGGGCACATCTGCCCCACGTTATTTCGAGGATAAGGCTGCACCACGTCCGAACCGCATCGCATGAAGTGCCATCGCCAGGCCGCGGCGAACGTCAAGCTGTCGAGCCCCTTTTTTTGTCGTGCGGTGAAGCCGACGAGCACAGACGAGCACAGGCACGATAAAGCCCGAACACGGTAGCCACCCCGCCCCAAGGCCTCACCTTTGTACTGCGGCGCAAAGCGCGCGATGTCGGGCGGCAGGCTCTCGTACACCTGGTGCTCGCGCTGGAGCAGCGGCTTGCAGATGGTGGTGTCGTTGAAGCGGAGGACGCACGCGTGACCCCCCACGAGGTGTGCGAACGGCTGCAGGATGCGACCCGCCGCCCTGCCAGTTTCCGGAGAAAGGTCCATCGGGCCCCCCTGCATTGAGAAGGTCAAGAAGACACAGATGAGGACCGTTGAACTTCTTTCGCACCGTAGGTAGCCAACCGCGCTAGTCGGAGGTGTGGGGAACAAGATGACTCTGTCACCATGGACGAAGTCGTTCATGCCGCAACACCCAAGTCAACTCTTTGAACCTTGATTCGTTGGGGCCACGTGGTAGTTTTATGCCAATTTTTTTGTTAATAATTTAATCCTCCACCACCCCCACAAGATTTTCACGTTTACAACGATATAATGTATAGGTACCAATGTACTGATCAATGCAGTCCATAAGAGGTTTTTTTGGGGTTAGATCGCGTAAATATATAAATGTGTCGTTAAAACCCGCCACCACCCGACACACAGCCAACGAGTAAGGATTGTCACGTAAACAGAACGTGACCAATTCGTCACTAGTACAGCAACACCGGTGTGTTGGAGAGCCAAGCCACAACATTTACTATCCGAGTACGACGTTTCGCCAGTATAAGAATAGGTTTCCCCCTTTTTTTCTGGCAACGAAACAAAAGTGTTAAGATGTTAAAACACCAAACTGAAACCTCTTCCAACGAATCATGTCTGCATTAACCGCAGATACTTGTGGTGAAAATACAAACAAAAAAACATGCTCTGACAGTTTATGCATTGTCTTTGAAACTGATTGGTCCACACCAGAGACGGCGTTCTTTAGAGCCTCGTCTCAATCGGCGTTAGACCAGAGGACGCCTCCTTTGCCACTTGCAAAGGAGGCCCCATGATTTCGCTGCTCACCCCGAGCCCTCATTGTCCTGATAGTGGCATTGTCTTTGTGCTGTTCGCCTTTTGGCTTCAGACATCCAGTCATGAAAACTGTTACCATCAATACACACGGATGCTGAAGTTTCTTGAAAGTCATGAAAATGCCCCACGACCGCACAGACGGTTACACAATTTACGCCCACAAGCTGCATAGATTCGCGAGGTTGTAAAAGAAAATGGCCAAAGTAATGTGGTTAATATTTATCGCTTTCCCACGGTATAAAAGCACATCGGCATGCTGTGAAATCATAGGACTGCCTGTGCAGACAGGCACAACCCAAAACTTCAGACTCGTTCGCTGTTACCGCACAGAGAATATGCTTCTATGCAGCTGCTCGGGAGTGCAGAATGCGGTTTAGGTTTTCGCAGAGTATGTTATGATTCACATGACCAAGTTCAAAAATGTTACGTATTACAGTTCATTATTATTACGCTTGTTTAGCCATAAAAGCCCGAGTAATCTCATGGCTCTTTTGCAAACGAGTTCTGCAGTTTTTTTGCAGCAGCGTGGTTGATGATTGATATCTATATTTCAAAGGAGTATAAAAAGACGCCAGACGTAAAAAGGCATTTGATTCAAAGCACACTTCAATGTTGTGAACGTTGGTGCAATGGTTCGCAAGCTGGACTTACAAAAATAATCCAGTTCAGTTCCCCGTCGTGGCAGTTGAAATAATGGGGAAAGATTATTAAATGGCCCCAGGTCACACCCCGACCATCCAGCAGTATGAATGGGTACAACCACAGTTGGGCAGTCGGCACGTCGAGTATGGTTGTGGGGTAAAATGTGGGGTCTACCATCTCTTTTAAAAGACGCATTCATCAGAGGAGACCAAAATGAACCCTTGAAGGAGACCCTTCTCCAGAGCATCCTCTAGAGTTTAGGGGTCGGCAACCTGCAGCTCTTTCATTGCCTGCTTCGTGACACGTTCTTTATTAAGGGCCCACCATCTCGTGTTCACCACACAGCGCATTGCGGCTCTTGAAACCGAATTCAAAAGAAAATGCCTCTCCTTGTCATTGTGCTTTGCCGAACCCTGCTTAAGAGTTGGGAGGGCTTTCCACCAGCGGCGGTACGAGCAAGCAATGTCAGTGCTGCACCGCTTTACCTTCCGTGCGTTGTTACTTGACCATCAGCAATGCTGCAATTAATTCCAACTGAACAAACACAGTCACTAACTAAACTGGACAGAGATTCAGAGGCCAATTATAGATAATGCGGGGATCCATATAGACTCGTAGAGATACACATTAAGCACAAACATCGAATGCGAGTGTGGCCACGCAATCCACACACCACGTCCCATATAGTAAACCGCTGTTGATGAAGCTCCTTCCAAAAGCGAGGGAAGAGCAGCAAATAACTACACGAAGCCATCTCGACCTGGGCGGCATGCATGTACTATGTATGTTGAACTTATTTCACACCGGACGCAGTCGACCGTGCTAATCGGGGGAATGACAACAAACTAAACGCAAAAAGCGGTTCTCAAACATTGCCACTTAGCTCCCCAACATATGCACGGTGCCACGCGCGGTTTAGTTACAGGAAAACACGTTGTTTTAAAATGTAAACGCATTTAAATGAAAACGTACACGCATGAATTCAAACGACTGCATCCCAACCACGATGACCATCGTCCTCATCGTAAACCGCGAAGTGCAAAACATACAAAAAAGACACAACGTACGATCTGCTCCAAAGCGGCTGCGATTTAAGTGCGAGGCGACACCCGTAAGCGACTAACCGACACGGCGAGCGAGGCCGGCTTCGGCTGCTTCGCGTGAGACGTCTAAACACAAAAAAAAAACACCCTTTGGTTTTCACCACAACAAATCCACTTCCTTCCCCATCCCCCTCCCCACCACGACTACTTGAAATTTACAGCAACAGCAGCAGCAGCGCCAGATAGTTGCAGGCGTTGAGACACTTACCGGAGGGTGATGTCACAACAAGGCGCGCACACACACACACAAAATGCGCTAAGAGCAGCAGTTTGTCGATTCGCACGCATTTCCCGGCCAAGACTCCGCCTCTGGCCCTCACCTACGCACCACGTCCCAAAGCTCACGTTGGCAACAAAACACACATGGTGAGAACTGGCCCAACGAGTTTCGCGCTGGAAGCGGCCGTTTGTCGACAGGTAGACACACGCACACCTGCGCGCCCACCGCGTAACGCGCGAGATGGAAGCGCGTTCCCAAAGAACAGCGCGTTAATCGAACTGTGCGAAGCCGGGTAAGGGAGGGAGGGAGGGGGGGCATTACCAAAGAAAAGTATAATTTAGTTATATTATTTTAGCCCTGCATTCATTAAACACAATAAAAATGTAATACGTAATAATGTGAACGTTGCAAAAAAAAATGCCATTAAGGAATTTCATAACAAAAACTAATTAATGAAACAAAAAAATATGATTCAAATATGACACGCAATAATGTTTACGTTCCAAGAAAATACTTCAGTAACAACAATTCAAATGTAATACGTCATAACGTAAACGTTACAAAAAAAACTACTTAAGAAAGTTTAATCGCGAATAATTACAATGTAATACATGATGTTAACGTTACAAAAAAATACTTAATAGGGAGTTTAATAACAAATAATAACAATTCATATTAAAAAAAGATTACTGCTTACAAAGATTACTTAATAAGATGGCTAAAGCCCAGACCGTAGACACTGGGCGTTGCCATGGCACGGTGACGCCATCGGATTGATCATTGTTTTTTGGTTAACCTGCCAAATGTAATAAAATGTATGATTGAAATATTTTTTTTATTTAGAAAAAAATAAAATTTCACAATTGTTTTTGTTTTTCTTGAGCGTAACTGCGGGGGACGCCTGTGTGGTCGTAGCTCGGCATACGAAGTAGACGACTCTTTGGAGCTTCGTTCGTAAAACATTGAAACGTCGTATATCGAATCGCTTATAACATTAGTTCCGTGGGGATGCGTTCGACAGCCTTCTTAACTGACCATTTCGTACTGTAAACGCTTCGCAACGTACCACTGATATCGTAAAAAAAGACAATTTGTATTCGAAATTATAGATTTTATACGGTACCGTATTCAAATGAAAGAAGACTGACAAAATAAAAGAAACAGTGAAGAAATAAAATGTTTTTCTTATTTACATTATACCGTAGATCTACAAGTACATGATTTATTTCGGTGCATATATTATTTTGCTTTATTTTCATATTTCTGTCTAAAATAATGGTCAAAATCCAAGCGTCGTTTATCCAATATATGCATATCGAGGTATTACTGCACTGTGTACGCGACATGACTCAGTATATATAGTAATCGCCGCATGTGACGGTTCTTACACACACTCTTGCCATGGGCAAATATAATGTGCAGGAGCTAAAATTCCACCCAAAGTCGAGGCTGTAACGTGGTGTTGTAGCTTGCGGTATAAAGAAGACACACACAGCACGTGGTCGTTGATTCCCAAACTTGTTTAGTGACATAGCGATGACTGTTGGACAGCAGGGTCATGGTAGACCTCGTGTGGGTGCCCCTGGAACCCTCTAGAGCAGGGGTCCCCAACACCCGGGCCGTGGACCGGTACCGGTCCGTGGTCTGTTCGGAACCGGGTCGCGCAGCAGGAGGTGAGCGGTGAGTCTGCGCGTGGCCCGCCCATTCTGTTATTATTTACCACTTCTGTCCGTGCCTATTTCTCGCACTGTGCACTTGTCTCAGTCACAGTGTTGGTAAGCCCACAAGCTAACCCCTAGTAGCCACTGAGTAAAATACAAACGTCACTGGAGAGCTTCTTTGAAAAGGGGGAAAGACCCCCAGTCCTTGAAAAAATTGTCTTCCACGAAACCGGTCCCTGGTGCCAAAAAGGTTGGGGACCGCGGCTCTAGAGGGTTCGAGAACGGAGGCGTGGCTAGGGCGGGGCCAAGCCACACCGAGGGGAATAAAAGCAGCGGAGAGCGAGAGCTCCGGGCTGCCGGTTTTGGGAGTGGACTCGTCTCGTCGTCGCTGTCTTCGTCACCGCCCTCGTCGCTGCCGCCTTCGCCCGATCATCGTGCGGCCGGACAGCGGTTGGCTCTCCCGGTCGACGCCGTCGGTGCAACGGGACAGGGTGGTGTCTGGGCCGGGTCGTGCCGCAACGGGGTCACGTGTGGGCCAACGAGGGGGCCCGAGTGGTGGCGTGAGCTCGGCAAAAACGAATAAAGAAGGCAGAGCGGTGCCCCCTGCAACCACCTCGTCTCCGGCTGACTGTGTGTGCGACGCACGCTACCGGCATGCACAGACGACACTACACTTGTATTGACTCGTCTCCCGCTCTGTATGTACGTTGAACTTCTTTCGCACCGTACGTAGCCAACCGTGCTAATCGGAGGTGCGAGGGAAAGGACAACAAACTCTCTCTCTCTGGCTCTGCCCCCTCGTTTACATAGCATATATTATTATGTCTCTCCTGTTTTTTGTTTAATAAGACAACTATAATAAACAAGGTTAAATAAAATTACAGTACTCACAACTTAAAACATTATACCCTTAAGTAACTAATTTTATACAGCTTTCCCTCGATTCATGCGAATTCGGTTTGCGGGCGAGCGGTGGCGTTGTGGTTAGCACACTGCACTATTAGATGTTGCATTTTGCCCTCCTTGGCTGGACACTTGTCACATGACGAAGAGCAACCACATCTGTTGCACGTAGTCAATGGTGGAACCCCGGTCCTTCTTCCCAGCGAAGCTCTTGGGAGCTTTCCCATGTCGAAAACGACTTGAGTGCCATGTACTGACATGCGACTTGCCGTCTTCACCTCCACCATCCCACCATAGCGCGTTGACACTCGCACCTTCCTCTGGCGTTATCATCTTCCACGTTCTCTCAAGACACTGGGAAACGTGCGACCTATGCTGATGGCCTTGTCTAGCGTGGGCAGGTCACCTGCCTCGAGACATGTCTCTCTAACTTGTGCGTGCAGAGGACCGCAGATCTATCGTGTCCGGTCTTGTAGATCGTCAAACCCGCAGTCTTTCACAAAGCAGCCGCGGCGGTGTCACAAAGTTGTCAAATCTTTTGCCTTGGTCTTGCTTTTTTGTGATTAAAGTTAAGCGTGGCTTTGATTTCATTCGTCTTTCGTGCCACGTAATTGGTGTCCTTTCTTTTTTACACATGCTGCCAGAGTTTTGTTTTCAGCAGGGTTTATTGTTCGGTCGCAGGGTTTCCACGAAAATTATTACTGTAAATCTCCCAGCCTCTATCGCCAATGCCCTTTATAAAAATGTACCCTCTTGACCTCTTGACTTGCTGCTGAGCGGCCCCTTGAACGTGAAGCCACAGTTGCTGTTGTTGGATTCTCGTCCATTCTTTGGGTAGGTCAGATGATGCCTGCCAGTTTACCTTGGGTGTCTCCCAGACAGCCATTCTGCACGTGGTAAAGTGCTCAGCTCACATGATGTGTGTGCTGTCTCCACGTGTTCAAATTCTGGTCAAACCACGTTACCTTTTTAAAGGCTTTTCTTAAGTTTCCACCCATCGGCCAATTGCTTGTGATCCCAGTAGAAGATAACATCAGCTATTTATTTATGATGGTCCACATTGGCCAGGCAAGAAAGGCTGCAGAATGGCAGCGAGGCATCAGGCTGTTGAACATTCTAGGCTTGGCCTAGATATTTGTAGATTGTCCTTGCCACACACACAACGTCTGGAGCAGAGAGGTTGTCCACTTCTGATACCATTTGTCTCTTCTCACACAGCTTAAAGGTCGCGATCTGAGCGTGGCTTTTTCACTCCAGCGCTGTCCTCCAGACAGTCTCGTCCCCTTCACCTGATGAAGGCCGCTTGTGTTGTGGCCGAAACGCCGTGAGAATATTATTGTGTTATTTTATTTTATCAATTTAGTATTTTATTCTCATTCTACGTGACTTTACCGAAAGAACCAAAGAAGACCATTTAACGTATTGGTGTTGTAGCTTGCGGTATGAAGGCACATACCACGTGTCGTTGGCTCCAAACAGCTGTTCATACCTTTCCTGCGCTCTGCTATCCCACTCTCTCCTCTGGCTCTGCATCCTCATCGTCCCGTCATCACATGGCATACATTGCAGAGGTCTGCGAGCCGAAGACGAGAGAGCTTCATGTGGAAAAGAGTTCGCGTGGTTTTGCAAAATTGACGTCGTTAATTTGAATCCAGATAAGATCAGCACACACGGCGGGTGTGTGCCTGAGTTATGGCCAGGCCATGCAAAAGTAGTTCTATACTGTAGACAATGGAGTCAGTACCACTGTAGGCATGCGGGAGTAATCTTGAGTAGGGCAGGAGTGCAGTGAAGCATTATAAGCCTGTCGACCTAAGTCTTTATCTCCCGACTTTGGACTTGGGCAAATAATGCCAGCAGGCCATTTGATATTGGAACCGGTCCTACCTCTCCCCACTTCTCCAATTAACCTGCGCTGACCAGCATCAAGTATCAATAAAACAGATAATTTATTGTGTTTTTTTATTGCTTATATTGTCCACAACGCCCCCCATGATTCTTGTGTAGTCCAAGGTATGAACAAACAACCTCCTGTGACTGACATCACGACAGGGAGGCCTTCACTCAGCTATAGTAGATTATTAACAGCCCCAGTAATTTGGGAGTTAATACATATGGGTGACTCAGTAAGATTACGACACTATATTTGTTTATTAATGTTTGTTTTTTCCAAAGGAAGGTCTCTTGCCAGGTTCTGTCAGTAGGAGCGATGATTGTACCATCGAGAATCTCAACTCAGGGATTTGAGTTCCGTACTGTCGTTTTTAAAAGCGCCGAGTCTAGGACAGCAGGACGTCCGGGGTTTGAATCCGAGCATCCACTCAGCCCTCATGATATTTAATTAGATTTTTACTTAACTAGACATT